CAAAAAAAAAAAAAAAAAAAAAACATTAATTGCAGCAAAGAGAGTAGCAATAATAGAATAATAACCAGATGTTTCCATAACAATATTATATGAAGAATGCTCTGACAATGATGATAATATTTTTCTATTACTCCCTGATTATAGTTACTTTCCTCACCTCCTTTGGGTCTTTACCTACAAGCCACCTTCTCAATGAGGCCTGCCCAGGCCACCCTATCTAAAATTGTATCCTTTCTTCAACATTTGATATCTTCTTTCTCCAATTTATTTTTTCTTCTTAGCATTTGCTATTAGCAAATGCACCATATAATTTATTTATTTTGTTCATTGTTTTTCTCCCCCACTGGTATGCAGGCTCCTTGGACTGATTTTTGTCCTTTAAATTTAAAAGTATTATATAGTTAATGAATGTGCGATAAAAGCCCTTTGTGTGCATCGAGCACTTACTATATGCAAGATAGTGCTCAACCCTTACCTAGATTGTCTCATTTTGTCCTCTGACTCTTGCACCCTGCAGCCCCTTCTCATTGTTCCTCCCTCTGGAGCATCTTTTCCCATACACACGTTCAGGAAGAGTCTCTACTTGATACCCTCAGTTCGTAGGCACCACCCACCCCCCTGCAGTCCTGCGTCATTGTTGCTGCTCTGCAGACTCTTCCTTTCAGACACCAGCGACGTCCTAATTGCCATATCAAGTGATGTACTTTTAGCCCTTAGGTTACTGACCCTTTCAGTTCACTTACTGATCACTGCCCCGTTCTGGAGTCTTGCCACATGCAATATGCACTCCTGGATTTCTCCTTCTGCCTTTTCCATCTCTGCCTCTGCACTCCTCTGTCAGGCCGACCCTCCATGCTCATGTGTACCAGCTTCTGTCTCCAGCATCTCCCTCATTCTGGGTTTTCTCTTGAAGCATTGTTGTCCAGGACTCGGGTTTCAGCTACACCCTAATGTCAGTAACACTCAGATCTCTCTAGCCCTTACTTTCCACCACCTGTTTACATTTCTGCATGGATGTTCTGAGGCTGCCTCATATTCAGTTTATTCAAAACCCAGCCTTCCCCACAACCCACTGACGTACAGGCCTGCATTCCTGCCTTGGTTGATGGCATCACAGCTCACCCTACCGTGTTGGAAAGCTGGGGGTCAGTCGTGACTCCTCCCTCTTCAGGAGTCCCTGCGGAGGCCTGCTGCTGGGCGGCTCTCTAATCTGCCTGTTCCACACCATCCCTACTGTCACTCCTAGAGAGTGGCAGCCATGTCTTAAACACGCCTCTCCACGTCCTCAAATCCACCCTCCACACGGCTGCCAGGGCGTTCTTGCTAATGTGACCAGGGCATTGATTGCCAATTGTGGCTTAACGTGCCTCCCAGAGCACGTACTACACTTTTGCCAGGATTTCTGATTGCCTCAACTAACGCCCACTTCTGCCAGGGCTATCAGCTGGTCCTGAAAGCACACCCGCTCCCATGGTGAGTGTGTGTGATTAAAATAAGCTCAATCAAAGCAGAAGTCTCGGCCGGGCGCGGTGGCTCATGCCTGTAATCCCAGTATTATGGGAGGCTGAGGCGGGCAGATCACGAGGTCAGGAGATCGAGACCATCCTGGCCAACATGGTGAAATCCCATCTGTACTAAAAATACAAAAATTAGCTGGGCGTGTTGGCACACGCCTGTAATCCCAGCAACTTGGGAGGCTGAGGCAGGAGAATCGCTGGAACCCGGGAGTCGGAGGTTGCAGTGAGCCAAGATCACCACTGCACTCCAGCCTGGCAACAGAGTGAGACTCCGCCTCAAAAAAAAAGAAGTCGCTGAAAAGAGATGGAAAGAGGTAAAGGTTGTAATGACTTGAAAATAGCGAGGACCTAACATATATTACCACAACAATTTATACCAGAAAATACACAAGACAAGATGGAAAGGATCACAGAATGGAAACGAGATGGCAAGTCAGGCTAAAGCCTGAGGGAACTATAGGGAGGGTGCTCAGACAGTGAGAAGAGGGAGGAGCAAGCACTGAATTGAATGTAACCTGGGACGTTGCTAGAATTCACCAGCAGGTGGCAGACCAGAAAAATGTCCCTTTTAATCTCTGACTTTTGTTTGTAAAGCCTATTGTAAAATACAGAAGATAGTAAAGGAGAAAACAAAAATAATCTATAGTTCCACCAGCCAGATGGAACTACTCTTACTTCCCCTTAGTCTTTCAAAATGCATATAGGGCTGAGCACAGTGGCCCATACCTATAATCCCAGCACTTTGGGAGGCTGAGGCAGGCCTTGAGGTCAGGAGTTCGAGTCTAGCCTGGCTAACATGGTGAAACCCCATCTCTACTAAACATACAAAAAGTGGCCAACCATCCTGGGCACGGTGGCTCACACCTGTAATCCCAGCAGTTTGGGAGGCTGAGGCAGGCGGATCATGATGTCTGGAGATCGAGACCATCCTGGCTAACACAGTGAAACCCTGACTCTACTAAAAATACAAAAAAGTTAGCTGGGCGTGGTGGTACGTGTCTGTAGTTCCAGCTACTTGGGAGGCTGAGGCAGGAGAATTGCTTGTAGCCAGGAGGCGGAGGTTGCAGTGAGCTGAGATCGTGCCACTGCACTC